AAGTAAACTTCAACTTAGCGCTTTATTTATTGTATTTTATGATGAAATATCAGCCGGGCTCAGTGCTACAGATCTGGTTTGGTTTATTGAACATACAGGGAAATAGCTTAAAGCGACTTTAACTCAAGTTGGCAACTTTGGTTAATAATAATAATGATGATGACGATGACGATGACGATGACAATAACAGTAACAATAACAATAACAACAATAACAATAACAATAACAATAATAATAATAATAATAATAAATGTTCAATAAACGTACATCTCATATTTTTGTCATAAGGATAGTCACATCTTTACTTGAGGGTACATCTCTCCAAGTGATATTGTCTACAGTGGCCCATTAGCCAAATTCCAAAAAAAGAAAACAAAAATATTCTTGCTGTGTACACCAATTCATCATCTTTATGGTTGTTTTCTGTCCAATCCATAGTTTTTAATTTGGATCTCACGTTGTAAAGAGGATCCAAAGCTTTTACTCTTGATTTAAAATAATCTACTCTAGGTCCAAAATTATTTTGTAACCACGAATCCAAAGTACAGTAACAGTGGAAACGTCAAGAACTAAAACGCTGGCTGTATTAGACGAAACATTTACCGACCAACTGAAGCTAGCGCAACGGACAGAAACCCGCCACCTGTTACTACAGTGACTATACCTTACACTTAGCCTAATTTATCAGAGAATTTTGGAGAAGGCCAGGGTGGGTAAGCTTATATACCAATCGTGAAAAAAAGAACTGTGTTTATACCGGATTTAGGTGTAAGAGATATTTAAAATGTTTTTCGTCTAAATAAGAGGTGGAAGTTATTTCTAAAGAACACGTGTAGGACATTTTTCCACCTATTCATTACATTTCCATTTGAAGTGTTTTTGTTTTTGTTTTTTTTTTGTTTTGTTTTTTGTGTTTTTGTTTTTTTTTGTTTTTTGTTTTGTTTTTTGTTTTTTGTTTTTTGCCATCTGCCTCGGGTCAGCATTTACATCATCTCTTGGAAAACTGCTGCCAGGAATACTTAGAAATCTTCCCTCGAGTTCTAAAACCACGTATGTAAATTTGATTAATTTAATCGACGATATAGATACCTTCTTATTATTTAACAAAATTGCCAAGAGGAATATACTGTAACAGAAATGCAAATAGTCACGTACTTTCTCTTTGCNTAACTCAAGTTGGCAACTTTGGTTAATAATAATAATGATGATGACGATGACGATGACGATGACGATAACAACAACAACAATAACAATAACAATAATAATAATAATAAATAATAATAATAAATGTTCAATAAACGTACATCTCATATTTTTGTCATAAGGATAGTGACATCTTTACTTGAGGGTACATCTCTCCAAGTGATGTTGTCTACAGTGGCCCATTAGCGAAATTCCAAAAAAAAGAAAACAAAAATATTCTTGCTGTGTACACCAATTCGTCATCTTTATGGTTGTTTTCTGTCCAATCCGTAGTTTTTAATTTGGATCCCACGTTGTAAAGAGGATTCAAAGCTTTCACTCTTGATTTAAAATAATCTACTCTAGGTCTAAAATTATTTTTCCGGACCCAAACTTGTAACCACGAATCCAAAGTACAGTAACAGTGGAAACGTCAAGAACTAAAACGCTGGCTGTATTAGACGAAACATTTACCGACCAACTGAAGCTTGCACAACGGACAGAAACCCGCCACCTGTTACTACAGTGACTATATCTTACACTTAGCCTAATTTACCAGAGAATTTTGGAGAAGGCCAGGGTGGGTAAGCTTATATACCAATCGTGAAAAAAAAGAACTGTGTTTATACCGGATTTAGGTGTAAGAGATATTTAAAATGTTTTTCGCCTAAATAAGAAGTGGAAGTTACTTCTAAAGAACACGTGCAGGACATTTTTCCACTTATTCATTACATTTCCATTTGAAGTGTTTTGTTTTGTTTTGTTTTTGTTTTGTTTTGTTTTGTTTTTTTTTGCCATCTGCCTCAGGTCAGCAGTTACATCATCTCTTGGAAAACTGCTGCCAGGAATACTTAGAAATCTTCCTTCGAGTTCAAAAACCACGTGTGTAAATTTGATTAATTTAATCGACGATATAGATACCTTGTTCTTATTTAACAAAATTGCCAAGAGGAATATACTGTAACAGAAATGCAAATAGTCACGTACTTTCTCTTTGCGTTGACGAGCTCAATTATATCTGATTAATTGACAGACCATCGTAGAAGAAAATATGAACAACATACATCTCAGGCGAACTTTTCTTAACAA